GGTGTCTCTACCTCTTATAGTCTCTGAGAGGGCTCGCCTTGTCATGCTGATCAAGAATATATATACTTTGTGGGGTCTGCCACGCCTCCTTCTGCCTGTTACATTTTTCAGCTCCCGCAAACCTAATATAAAATAGAATATAAATATCGACGGAAAATAGCAGACATATAATGGTCGGGATTTTACAATATTCTAAAGCATCCCTTTAGAATAGATATTCAGACCAGAAGATCCATCACAGCCCAATTTCTGCACAATTTCTGGGCAATATATACCAACTAAAACCACTTTTGCATATTCAAATTCACTATTTGTTTATAAATTAATGGATAGAAAGAAACGGAAAATTCAGGATAGGATCGAATATGGGGCAAATCAGCAATTTTTAATTAATTTGGAATTAATTTTACGAATAATTTTTGTTGCACAATGGTAGATTTCTGACAAAGAAGATCCCTTAGTTACATTTTGGTAACCATAATGTAAAACACAATAGTTTAAAGCTAAAACCGGTTCATTCCGGACGTAATTTCTTAAAGTTATGTGGAGGAATATATAAGGAACATATTTTTGAAAATATGGGCAAGGAACTACCAAAGTTTAAAAATACCCTAAAAATAGGTTGTTTGAAAAATAACGTTTTCAACAACTACAAGTGACAAGTCGAGTCGATATAGCCAATTTTGAACTCAGATTTGGTAAGTACCTCCAGTTAGTGACTATGAGTCCGTATTACGCCATTACGATAGGTTAATTATGACGAAATTTATAGCCATAAATATTTTCTCTGCCCGCGGCTCTTGTTGTTGTTGCTGCTTTGACATAATGTACTGCATACATACACGTATATAAACACGCATAAACACGATGATGTAAATGTATGCTGTTGAAACTGTATATAAACATGTCTTCACTTTTGTATGTTAATTTAATTATATTTTTTTAAATAATATTTTTTTTAATTTTTTTTTTTTTTTTTGTGGAAAGTATTTTACTGTCGGGTTTGTTTGTTTTTTTTTTTTTTTTTTTTTTTGGAAAAACAGACTCAAAATATTTATTTAGTACATCAACAATAGTTCTGTCGATAACAATTATTAAAATATATTTTAACATTTTATATAACTTAATATAACATTATAATCTCAACTTAAAAGGTAAGGAACCATAAGAAAAAGGTCTACAATAACGTCTATTAATGCCTCCGACACGGGGTAATTTTATTTGCCAGTTGGCCGGCTATGCCCCGATTCACAGACATATGTGGTCAGACACATTATAGACCACAAACTAAACAAAAAGTAAGTAGAGGAGATTTAATTTTATTTAAGAACTAATTAGAAAAAGCAGTAGAAAGAGAAAGAGGAAAAACAAAGGGGGAAGGAGAGATTGTGCAAACCGTAACCGGTTGTGCATCTTGCCAATATGAACGGCAAATAATTTCTTGTTGGTCTACAAGGAACTGAAAAATTAAGGCGACCTAAGAGGGTAGAGGAGTCAACCTCACCGATAACAAACTTGTGGAGAAAAGCTACTCCAAGAACCGTCCTACGATTTACTAAGGAAGGAAGGTATATAAGCATCAGTCTACTAGAGTACGATGGCAAGCTGAGATTGGGATCCCAGCTTAACGTAGAGCAAAAAGAAGGAATTGCTTCTGAACAAACTCAATACTTTCCTGATGCTTTTTATACTGCGGAGACCAAACAAATGAGCAGTATTCAAGCACAAGGCGTACTAGAGCAGTGTAAAGAAGCTTAGTGGTATGGGGTCATTAAATTCCTTGGACCAGCGTTTAATTAATCAAAGTAAACCTTTGGCCTTATTGACAATACTGGATATGTGAAGGTTAAAGTTCAATTTGGAATCAAAAAGAACCCCAAGGTCTGCGACAGTCGATATACCTTGCAATGGCACATTGTCAATCGTATACGTCCCTAAATGAGGCAAAGCTCGGTGAAATGTTAGCTAAGCACCAAGATTGCATGCAGCGCAGATCATTCTGCAGGCGATGAAAATGAGAAGGGTCTTTTTAAGTCACAATAAGTTTCACATCATCAGCATAGGTAGAGGGGAGCCCGAGATGGCTACCTTGAGGCACACCTGATGATGCAAATAATGCATAAAATTAGTACAAATTAAAACATGAATCATAATGTAGCTATTATAACTGAAAGATGCAGTGTTTGCATAAAATTGAAGAGATCGTTGAAAACTACAACAAGAGAGAACGCTACAGTCGGGCAAGCCCGACAGTAGGGGGGAAATTAAAAAAAATAAAATAAACTCGTCCTTACTCGGACCTAGGAGAATCTGGATGCCAACTTTGGTTATTCTAGCTTTTAAAGTTTCTGAGATCCTCGCATTCATCCAGACGGACGGACATGTCTAGATCGATTTCTCTCGTCATGCTGATCAAGAATATATATACTTTATGGGGTCGGAGATGCTTCCTTCTGTATGTTACATACTTTGCACAAACCTAATATACCCTTTTTACCCTACGGGTACAGGGTATAATAAAAAGGTAACTTTCAGTGCATATACAACAGTGGACAAAAGTATTTTGACAACACATTGGAAAATTTAAAACCGCTTATTTCTGCAAACTTAGAATAGTAACGGTATCCATTCAATTTTTAACAGAGAGCAGATATTAAAAGCTTTAAGAGAAAAAAAGATCGCGCTGATAACGTAACACATTTCTTTTCTATGATTATCTGCGTAGTATATTGTGTTTTTTTGGCTGGACAAAAGTATTTTGACATTGCTTTTCATATTCATTTTCAAGGATTCGCTTGCCGTACAAAACACGGGCTCTAATTTTTGAAGTGATTTTTCCTATTTTTATTAATAATAATCACTGTTTGATCGAATTTTATGTTAAATTATAGGCAAAACACGTTAAATAAGTGAATTAATTAGAAGTTAAATGGTCACGAAGTATAAAGCATATATTTCTGTAGAATACCTTACCAAATAATAGAACATACCTAGACAATCAATTTATTACAAATTAACAAAAAGAAGAAGCATTATTCCTTCAAAAATAAGCTCAGATCGGGAAGACCACGCAAAACAAAGCCCATAGAAGGTCGCATAATATTGAGTAAACTTAAGGAAAATGTGATGAATACGCCAAAAGCAGCGTCGAGTGAGCTCAAGAAGCACCATAAAATATCAGTAAGTAGAAAAACTATCCAAATACGGCTAAGGGAGGCCGATTTTTTGCATATATAGCTCGTCCAATTCCTTTAATTCCAACAAAAAATAATCTAAAAAGGTTAATATTCGCCAAATTCCAATAAACAAGTCGCAATCGTTTTGGGAACAAGTATTATGGACAATGAAAGCTATTTTGAATATCTTGGATCGAAGGAAAAAAAAGATTTATTGCACGTTGCCAAAGAATATTTGCCAAGAAATTAGGCCCAGGGTCGAATGGGGATTACATGGTGGAGGATTGGTTATGTTCTTGGAGTACATGTGCTTCAATGGCTTGGGTGATTTGATACCAATTGATGGAACAATGAACAAGGACAAATATTTACGTGTCCCGAATGAACGCGCATTCATGTTCGGTGACCAGATCATTGAACAATCATTTATACTGCTACAGGACAACGCTCCATGTTACAATATGAATATGCCCATATATTTTATTAGAAACATTAAAAATTTTGTAGAATCAATTCCTGTATGCTTACAAAAGGTCTTTTATATGAAAGTTTAATTTTTATTAATAATTTTTTTATTTTTTACCAATATTAACTTTTTCCCTCATTTACTTAACAAACATTGAAATGTCAAAATACTTTTGTCAACCAACAGTTATAAAAGATTGACTTTAGTTTCGAAATTGTTATATTAAAAATGATCATTTTTTGAATTTAAGAAGCTTAATATATTCTATATACATTAAAAAGACGTTAATGATTGTAAAGTCAATAAAACATAAGAAATCTGCGTAACAATCTTATTTTTGTAATGTCAAAATACTTTTGTCCACCGTTGTAAACGCACGCTTACTTACATTAAAATTTGTTCAATATCTATTGACTGAGAAAAATTTGATATGCAAAAACCTTGGGTATTCAATGATAATATAAATATTATAATCGAATAATTGAAAAAAATGATCATATTGTGTTTTTCAAGCATTTTCTTAAAATTACTTAAAAATTGCACATTTTCCTTGGCCAATGGAATAGACGCACTTAGACATATTTTTTTATAGTCATAGGTATATGTGTACTTATATGTATGTTATGTGTTGCCAAGCTATTTTATTGAATGTCTGTTTGCGTCGCGTTGATGATATGTCATATACTCATTCGCGTCGCAAAAACTATAATTCCGATTTCTTTAAGAGTATGATTGGTCCCTGAAAAATTTAATATAAGATACGTTTATTCATAATCCCCAAAGCATTCATGAAATTTTTGATTTGCGCAAGCTGTTCAGGCCGAAGGTCCCACAGTGCGTCGTTTCAAAATTACAGCTCCAATCGGAGAAAACTCGTTCCTTCCCGTACTTAGAAGAATCTGCATACCAAGTTTGGTTATTCTAGCTTTTATACTTTCTGAAATCGTTCGTACAGACAGACAGACGGACATGGCTATATCAACTCTACTTGTCATCCTGATCAAGAATATATATACTTTGTGGGGTCTGCCACGCCTCATTCTGTGTGTTACATACATGCGCACAAAGCTAGTATAGCCGTTTCTCCTTTGGGTACAGACTAAAATAAAACATACTTGCACATCGTAAACAAAAAAGGCATCTTTGTGTAAAATTTGGTGTCTCTTATAGTCTCCGAGATCCAGGTGTTCATACGGATGGACGGGCGGACAGGCAGGAGTAGATAAACTCGTCTTGTTATTCTGATCAAGAATATTTATACTTTGGGGGGTCTGCCACGTCTCCTTCTGCCTGTTACGTTTTTCACCTCCCGAAAACTTAATATACTCTTTATGTATAATATAAACCAAACGGAGACATAGAAAACACTTCACAATTTTAATACACTTTATTTTTATATACAAAATAACAAATTTTAGAATACTAAAATACCTTATATTAGAATGGTTAAGATTTGCTTGTCTTAGCTTGTCAAGTCAATTGAAATTATTCGTCCAGTTGAATTAAAAGTCTGAGCCACAGAAAGATTTTCAAAGTGCATGCCTTCATTTTTGCTGACCTTTGTTTCTGAGTTCGTAGGGTTTTGTGCGAACCAGTCCGAAACATTTATTAATTTCTTTGGCAGATTGCAATTTTCTTGGTTATATTCTTTTGATTGCCGGGAGTCAGAATGTGTATTCGAAGTATTTATAACTCGCGTAACTGGATGGTTGGATATAGGGTTTACAGTACATCGGTTAAAAACAGAATTAGTCTTATAGTTAGAGAAAATATATACTGATTGCTGCAAAGGTTTTAATGAATTATTTTCAGTCATAGCAGTTGGACTCGGTAACGCAGGTATTTCACATGTATTTATAGAATCTTTTTGTCTTCCTGAGACTGAATTTTTGTTAGATACGGATATCGATAGAGGTGTATCCGAACTAATTATTCGCGATCGGTCGATTTGGTCGTCATCATCAGAGGAACACAAATCAATTGTGTCAACTAAAACCTCATTTGATGGTGAAATCCTCCAATTTGAATTAAGTGAAATATCTCGTGTTAATCTAATATTGAGCTTAGTATTTCCTGGTGGACATTGTTCTCCTAATAAAGGTTCAGTCATTTTTTTCAATCTGACCGAAATCGGACGGCATTGTTTTATTAACGGAGAGTTGAGGAAAAGAAAATTTGTTGTGTTATCCCTGCGTTGTGAAAACTGACGCCGTGGAAAGGAGTATATATGTAGGCTATGATCATAGGGTTTTTTATAAGTACAGTGAGCATTACTTGAGCTTAATTTTTTTTCAAAAATTTTTTGCCTTAAATTTGATTTTAGAAATGGAGTATAACAAAAGCGTTCTAATCTTTCTTGTCTTTCAAACACGTATTCAACTGTCATAGCAATTTTTATTGACCGCAGTAGTCGTTGTCCCGCAGGTGATGATATTGGAATAAATGAACATCTGCTAAAAGAATGGACCGTTCGATTTCTTCTCGATATGCGTCTATTTAAATCAGGTATATCATTAATTATGTCATTATTGCAAACATGCGTTTTTTTATGTTGAACACATACATTATGTACTGAAACCCTAGACTGAAGACTAAAATTTAATAGGAAAGCATTGCGCAATTCACTGTTCTCATTTTTAACGTCCCTATTTTCTGGTTCTGGGGAATCGCAGATAATTACATCATTTTCTATATTGCAAATTTTTTCGTGTTCCTGCAAAAGAAATTTAAAAAACCATAATTTAATTAATATATATATATATATAGATATACATATAAAAATATATATACACTGCGCGTCGCCCCTGATTTTAATAGTTTTCGCTCATTTCTATTAAAACTAAAAAAAAATAAGTTCTAAAAATTCTAGTGATTATAAATAAAATAAAAATTAAAGTCCCTATATTTTTCAATATTTTTTTATGGTTTTTTTTTAGGGCAACCGAAAAATTAACATTTTAAATTTGGTCATCAGGTTAGCACACATCATTTGTTTTTAATTTTTAAAATCGTTTCTAATAAGAACTTATTTTTAAACTTATATAGTAACTAATTTAAACATTTCTTTATAATTTTAAAAATGGGGCGATCCTTCATTGCTAATAATAATCTCATATATCCAATTTGCAAGCAATACGAACAACTTTCCAATATAACTTAAAGAAATGGCTGGCCAAGCACTTTTAATGCCTTCAATTAATTCCTTTTTGGTAGAATACTGTCTGCAAGATTCGTAAACTTTGCGAACCAGCCATTCCGACACGTTTTCTATTACAGTGGGCACCAAAAGTCTACATACGATCCAATATTTTGCTACCTGGCCGAACCAAAGATATTTATTAAAAAACTAATGATGCAGTTTCGTAGCTTATCTATTTTTATGGAAGAAAACGAAACATTATTAACTAAAGATGTATCCTTACAAAGATATAAACGATAAATCATATTTCTTCCTTGACAAAAGTGTACGTACGGTTTCATTGGACACTTTACTCTTCGAGCTGTGTAAAGCTCTTGATTTTGCTTGTGTTACGACAGATCTGGCATTGCTTTAAGATGTCATCGATAAGTAAAACCGATAATGGAAAGTAGGGACTGGAAGCGGCTAGCGCTACCATAACCAAGAAACCACGTTGGCTTGATCTTTTTAATTCTGCAGCGAGAGGAAGTGGTCTAAAAGTAAGAACAGGCTATAGATCATAGGCATATTGTAATTTTGTAATTCCGTAGGAATTTAAAGTGTCGCCCAGTCAACTCGCCCGAACGACCAGGCAATTGTCGCACATCCATCAACTCTACTTGAGAGTTTGTAAATAAATATTTGCCTACATCAATACCAAAGGTAGTTCGTTATTTGGGCGGCGCCGGGAAAACTCGAACTGCCGCAAAATTTCTTTAAATTCTTTTGTACAAGAATTGCCGTGATGCTGTCTCCGCATGCTCGTGGGCAAGGGCATTGTTCAGCTGTGCTGTGTGGTTAGCTGCAATGGCACTGACTGTATGAAGAAATGCCACGTACACTGCGCTACAGATATGGATCCTAGCAGCGGATGGCGCTGCGAAAGATGTAAGAATTTGCCTAAGGGAATATCGCTTGAAGGCCAATATGGCGGTAAATTGGACATATCAGCGCATAATGAGAGGACACATACGGTAGCAGAAAGGGAAAAGCAAACACAGGAGAATGTTAAGTTGTCCACGAATAGCAACGGGGCTCATGCAGTGCCCGGCGTATGTATCAGTGAAATACGTTCACGATGCTCGTCCACTTCATCAGATGCAGTTAAGCGCCTGCAGACAGAGATGCGGTTGTTGGATGAAGAGAAGCGAAGAGAGCTTCTCGCTCAGCTGCCGTCATTTGAGTAATCCCGACTTAGAACAGGAACTGGTGTCTAATTTACCGTGCATGCTGCAGACGATGTGGGGAATGCATAAGATGACGCTCAGCGATTCTACATTGGCCGATTTCAGCGATTGGTTTTTCAAGTAGCCCAGGGAGCAAGTTGTGTGATGATTCCAAGCTTGCAAAACAAAGGCCGTAGACGTGGAGTTGTGTACACGCATCATGAAGACAATGAAGGCGGGGACTGTAGGGTCTGCAATGACAAATGTGCATCGGTAGCAGACTGTGTAGCCGTCAGGGAAATGTCTCAAAGAGTGCGCTGGCACGAAGGCATTAAGAATCTGCTAGAGGTGTCTTGGGACGCATAGGCGGGTGGATTGCAATGTGAAAGTAGCTTGCGGAGTAGATGGGTGCCAGGAGATGCATCATAAGTTGCTGCATAGAACGGTTACCGTACCGGTGAGTGGCAACTGCAATGCTCATAATCAGAGTATTGTTTCAGTCTTCTTCAAAGTTCTGCCAGAGGACGATGCAAATGGCATAGAGGAGGATGCAAATGGCAACGAGTTCAATACGTATGCGTTTATTGACGACGGGTCCTCAATCACTTTAATGGAAGAGAAGTTACTTCAGGAACGTGGAGATGATATCCGAAGATGACAAGTTGGCTCTGGAGCAGTTAGAGAGGCGCATCGGAGAGATTCGAAACGGGATTGTTATGGAGATATAACAATATTGTGCATTCAGACAGCTTTAAAATGGCGTTAAAGAGAGCGCAGTGTCTGGAGGAAAGGTTAAGGCGGCAACTACTAATGACCGTCAAAATGAGAGAAAAGATCAACGAGTACGTAACAAAGTGCTATGCAAAACGTTTGATGCTAGAGGAGACGTCTGAGCAGCTAAATTGGTTCCTGCCGATTTTCCCTGTGTGTAATATAAATAAGGCAGACAAATTGCGCATAGTATGGGATGCGGCAGCGAAGAAGGACAACGTGTTCATTCATTGTTATTAAAAGGGCCGGACCAGACGGCACAGTTGATGCCTATTTTACGAAGATTCAGAGAGAAGGCCATAGCAATTGGTGACATAGCGGAAATGTTTCATCAGGTGAGAATGCGTCCTGATCATCAAAAGTTTAAACGATTCCTGTTCATAGATTTGGAGGCGTATGTCATGTAGGTGGTGACATTTGGTACCTCCTGTTCACCGGGCAGCGCCCAGTTTGTGAAGAACAAGAATGCACGAGAATTTGCGTGGCAATATCCACGAGCGGTCAAATGTATTTTGGAGAACCACTACGTTGATGATATGCTAGATAGTGTCGACACCGAAGCGGAAGCCATCAAGTTGGCGCAAGAAGTTCGATATATTCACTCTCGTGCGGGCTTCCGTATACGAAATTAGGTATCAAACTCATTGAAGGTTCGTTTTGCGCTGGAGCTTACAGAGGATTCCACCAAAGAGATATGCTTTAATGACAAAGCAGGAACATTAACGGAAAAGGTACTTGGCATGTGGTGGGACACTCAAGCAGACACGCTTGGCTTTCGGTTGTCGAAGCGGCACCAAAATAGCAAGCTGCTGAACGGATGTCAACGCTCGCGTTGAGAAGATGAAAATACCGAGGTGCTACACAATGTCCTGTCCACTGAAAGATTCAGAAGTGGAAATGCATATGTTTGTAGATGCGAGCAAAAAGGGTTACGCTGCGGTATGCTACATGTTGCAGAGAGGAGCAGAGGGCACGTTCTCTTGTTTGATGGGCAGCAAGGCAAAAGTGGCGCCACTAAAACAGATGTCAGTGCCAAGGCTTGAGTTGCAGGCCGCAACAATCGGAGCACGTTACGCGCAGGTAATCCCATCAACAATCAACACGAAGTTTACCAGACGAGTATTCTGGGTAGACTCTAGCACGGTGCTAACCTGGCTACGATCGGATAACATGCGGTACCGCCAGTTCGTTGGACTTCGGGTGAGTTATTAGATCTAACCGAAATATCCGAATGGCGCTGGGTCCCGAGCAATGAAAACGAAAAAGTGGCAGAAATCACCCGATTTTTCGAGCAGCAGCCGATGGCTGAATGGCCGCGTTCCTAAGGCAGGGTCCACAGAATGGCCTACGGAACCGGCCATAAAACGAGAAACCACAAGTGAAGAACTGCGCGAACAAACTTTTGGACTATGCGAGGATCTCGATTTATTGAGTGGCAATGGCCTGATCGACATTACTCGGTTCTCAAACTGGCGACGATTAGTGAGAAGTGTTGCAATGGTAATATTTGCGGCACGAAAATGAAGATATGCGGCTCTGACAAAAGGGTCTTTGCACAAGATGAATACTATAGCAGTGAGAAGGCAGCACTCAAGAAGGTTCACCGTATAGATAGATCCAGTCACTATACAAGATGTGTGCGTATATGGATGACAGAGGAGTATTACGGTTGAAAGGACGAGTAAAGCTGTATGGAGGAACTGATCCTGTAGTATTGCCAAAAGAAAGCCGTATCACTATGCTATTGTGTACGATGTACATGCGAGGTTCCATCACGCTAATCACGAGACGGTTGTGAATGAGATGAGATAACAGTTCTGGGTACCACGCATCAGGGCGGTGGTGAGAAGAGTTCGAAATTCATGCCAGAAATGTAAAAATCAACATGCCAAGCCCTGGCCACCGAGGCTGGCGGCTTATCAACTACCATTTACATGCACTGACGTGGATTATTTTGGACCGCTTCTCATGACTGTCAAGAGAAGTACCGAGAAACGATACGGCGTGCTATTTACATGTCTGACTACGACAGCAATCCATCTTGAAGTAGCGTATTCACTAACTACAGATTCTTGTACTCTAGCTATTCGCAACTGCACCATGATCCGTGGACAGCCAAGGGAGCTGTGGAGTGACAATGCTATGAATTTTCAAGGCTACCGAACTCCAACAGTCAATGGACACGCTTGACGCAGGCAAGGTAGCAGAAACGCACGCTATATTCTATACTGTCCAGTAGACTCCCTTCCGAAGAACTATGGCGGGCAGCACTAATGGAAGTGCAGATGACTGTAAACTCACGGCCACTGACATACATACCAGTGGATGACGATAAAGAAGAGGCGCTTAAGCCTAATCACTTCCTGCTAGGAAGTTCCAATGAGCAAAAGCCAGCACTTCAAACGCAACCTGAAGGTATACGCATGAAGAAGAACTGGCTTACAGTGCAGCAAATGGCAGATGAATTTTGGCGAAGATGGCTGCGCTAGTATCTACCTGACCTGATCAGACGAAGCAAATTGTACGAGAAGGTCAAGCCAATAGAGGATATATTGTGTATATTTGCGATCCCGACAGCCCAAGGGCTCACTGTCCGAAAGGAAGAGTAATTGCAGTAAAGCGCAGCACAGAGGGGCAAGTACGAAGTGCCACAATAAAAACGAACAGCGGCATTTATGTGAGGCCAGCTGCAAAGCTTGCAGTTCTGTCTATTGGAGTGGATAAGGTAGATCCCGACCGGAATATACCTGGGGGAGCGTTACGACAGATCTGGCATTGCTTTAAGATGTCATCGATAATAAGTAAAACCGATAATGGAAAGTAGGGACTGGAAGCGGCTAGCGCTACCATAACCAGGCTTGCCATAAAGAAATCTCCACCGACTTGCGAAAATTACTCTTAAAGTACAGAAATAACAACAAAATGAACTAAACTTTTAAATCTTGGAAAGTTTACTGTGCAGACAATATTAAAAACAAGTAAAAAAGTCGGGTGTCCCGACGTTGAAATACTCTGTATATATGTCTAGAATACTTATAGAAATTAAAAAAAAAAATTTATCGATTTTACCTCTCTCCCTCTTGCACATTTACATAGCAATTGCGTCAATATGAGTGTATGAATGTCTATGCACGTCTATTCGTGTCTGTGCATGTTTGCAGTCAACCAAACAGCAACATCAACAGCAGCTGCGGTCAGCGCTTGGGCAGCAAATATGAAACTTGGCATACGGACACACTAACTGGGGGTATTTATAAAATTAGAGTTCGAAATTCCAAGAATTACGGGAGTCACGATTTTCCGGGGAGAGGGGGGAGGGAGGGAAAGAATTTGGTGTCCCTAGGTCTTATAGTCTCCGAGATATAGGCGATTATACAGGGTGCGCCATCTTTCATGTCGGCATGCAAACACTGAATAACCTTGTCATTAGTGAACCGATTGACTTGAGTAGACCAGTGTTGAAAACCTCAGTTCAAGAAATTGTACAGAACCAAATTAAATAAAAATATCTCATACTTGAAAATCGGTTGTTTATTTTCAAAGATATTCAAACTCGTACCTTCCCGTACTTAGAAGAATCTGGATACCAAGTTTGGTTATCCTAGCTCTTGTACTTACTGAGATCCTTGGTGTCTTTGGTGTCTCTACCTCTCTGAGGTCCAGGTGTTCATACGGACAGACGGACAGACAGACAGGGCTAGATCGACTCATCTTGTCATGCTGATCAAGAATATATATACTTTGTGGGGTCTGCCACGCCTCCTTCTGCCTGTTACATTTTTCAGCTCCCGCAAACTTAATATAGTCTTGTACATTTCATGTACAGAGTATAAAAACTTTAAACAAAAATGGTTTTCACAGCAGAGTTCCAAGAAAAAAAGGCGATAATAATCGAAAAATATCGTGAGATTGGTTTAGAAAATGCGTATAAATATAAAGACAAGGACTTCGATTTTTGGAAAAAAGTTTAGGTTACCGACTAATCAATGTTTAGCGAAAGGTAAACGCAGCATTGAATCCTAATCATTTGGTCCTTACAGTCCAACATGTCTGGAGTAGGAAATTTGGGTTTTATCATGGGCAATATGGATCGACTTCAAGAATATATTGGAAGAAAATTTAAATGAAATGGTCGATGGTTGATCCAACAGGACATCAACCCAAAACGTACCGAATACGTTGTCAGGATTTGGTTTCTCTACAATACACCACGCCAATTGAATATTTCACCGTAAAGCCCTGATTTGAAATTTATTGAACACACATGGGACCTTTTAGACCGGAAGCTGAGGAAATATGATGTTACCAGTGCGTCAAGCCTAAAGGAAGGGCTTCAGTCTACTTGGTACGATATAACACCTGTAGAACTGCGAAATCTGGTGAAGTCAATACCGAGGCGTCTTCAGACCGTCATTGAAGCACGTGGAGGTCCTACAAAATATTAAAATAAATATTATGTGGGGGCCAAGTGCTTTAAATCTCCGAATTTTTACGAATTCTCACGAATTTGTACTTGTACGTCCTACGTACACTTTTGTCAAGGAAAAAATATGGTTTTTCGTTTATATCTTTGTAAGGATACATCTTAAGTTAATAATTGTTCGTTTTCTTCCATAAGAATAGATAAGCTAAAAAACTGCATCTTTAGTTTTTTAATAAATACCTTTGGTTCTGCCAGGTACCAAATATTGGATCGTATGTATATTTTTGGCGCCGACTGTATATTGATGTCCGGTCAGTAAGGCGGCCCCTTCAACAAATCGACGTTTTGTGCTTCAATCCAAGATTTGATCACCCAGGCAGTATGAATAGAAGCATTGTCGTGTTGAAAACATCCAGGGAAATCCCCAAATATTTATAATGAGGAAGATCATAAAAGTTATATCCATCGTATCATTCCAAATCACATTTCTTTACATCCGAAAAGAAAACAAAGCTCCAATCAAAATTTAAGCAGAGTTCGATTTAATCGTATTTCCTTCCGAGCATATTTGTCTGATGTAGGTGTGCTAACCTGATGACGCGCAGTGTATATGCTAAGCACATTATTCTAAAATTGTGCTAAGACTTACCATTATAGCTTCTTTTGAATATAGTTCAGCATCACAATTGTCACAAAGATAAATATCGAAAGGAGCTGGCTCAACCATCATTTGCTGTGAATCATCATCGTGAGCATCATTTTTGTTTTTTTGAAGCAAGAGACATTTCCTAATTTTTTGTTGGCGATCATATGACTGCAACAAAATAATAATAATTTCAAAGGTTATTTATTTACATTGCAACTTGAAGCTTATTGAGGTGTAGAAAAAATATAATAAAAGTATAAACAAGAAGAGTAAAATGCAATAAAGAGGAAATTGATATATGACAGACCTCACAAAATATATTTATTCTTGATTATGATGACAAGACATTCTACACATCTCCATCTGTATCAGCGGATGGCTCAAAATCTGATGTTGTTAAAGACGTTGTTGGTGCCAAGACTCACGAATACCCCGAGGATGTTTTCCGATTCAAGGATGAACTCTCTTACTTCAAACTATTCATGGCAAATCGCGTAGCGGCCATACAGAAGCTGACCGCCATTAAGGAGTGACGTTTTATTCCTACGGGACTGGGTGTTCACGTTGATTGCCTAGCGTCTCGCCTCGGCGAAAGCGGGCACTTGAATTGCAACACAAAAATTTACTGATGGTCAAATCTCTACAATTAAAGCGAAATAAGTCTCTGGGACATACTTATTTTTTGTTGTAAAAACTACAAGTATATTGAATTATTTTTGGTCTTTTTATCAGGGAAATAATGATTATTTTGTTTTTTTTTTTTTTCTTAAACGAAAAAATCATTCACTTATAGTAACTTTTAGAAAGCGAGGAATTTACTGGCATCCTTTTTTAAGCATTATCTATGTATTTTCACCATGATCTATTAATTTTAATTTGTATTCATTCGCTCACAATTTAATGATTAATTTTTAGTTTTACTTTAAAAATTAACCAATAATCATTATTGATGAGCGAAAAAATAAAACTTATAAAATAATTATTCTTTGAGTTTTATTTTTTTGATCAAAAATAAAATAGCCTGTACTCTCCACAAAAAGGAAAAATTAAAAAAAGGAAAAATTAAAAAAAAAAAAATTAAAAAAAAAATTAAATTATTAAAAAAAATGAATGAATTAATTAATTAATTAAATTAAATTAGAATACATGTTTATGTTCAGTTTTAACAGCATACATTTACATCACGTACCTATGCGTGTTTATATGCGTGTATGTATGCAGCACAAAGTTGAACAAAAGCAGCAACAACAACAACAGCTGCGGGCAGCGCTGCCGACAGAGCTGCAGGCAGCGCATGAGCAGCGATTTTACTTATGGCTATAACTTTCTTCAGAATTGACCTATCATGATGAAATTTGGCACACGGACACATTAGTACTAACTGGATGTACCTACCAAAATCTGCCTAGGGTATATAGGAACCTTGATACAAATTTTGGTTATCCTAGCTCTTGTACTTACTGAGATCCTTGCGCTCATACAGACAGACGGACAGACAGACAGACGGACATGTCTATATTGACTCGTCTTGTCATCCTGATCAAAAATATATATACTTTGTGGGGTCTGCCACGCCTCTTTCTGCCTGTTACATACATTCGCACAAAACTAGTATACCGTTTCACCCTTTGGGTACAGGGTATAAAAAAAAATTAAATTATTAAAAAAAGGGAATTAATAAACATAATGTTTATGGTCAGTTTTAACAGCATACATTTACATCACGTGCCTATGCGTCTATGTATGCAGCACAAAGTTGAACCAAAGCAGCAACAATAGCTGCAGGCACCGCATGAGCAGCAATTTTAATTATGGCTATAACTTTCTTCAGAATCGACCAATCATGATGAAACATACCGACACATAATCACTAACTGGATGTAATTACCAAATTTGAATTCGAAATTCCAAGAATTGCGGGAGTTATGGGCAAAGTACGAATAGCGGGGGAGTAGGGGGTTCATCGAAAAAAACTCAAACTCGTACCTTCCCGTACTTAGAAGAATCTGGATACCAAGTTTGGTTATCCTAGCTCTTGTACTTACTGAGATCCTTGCGCTCATACAGACAGACGGTCAGACAGACAGACGGACATGGCTATATCGACTCGTCTTGTCATCCTGATCAAAAATATATATACTTTGTGGGGTCTGCCACGCCTCTTTCTGCCTGTTACATACATTCGCACAAAACTAGTACACCCTTCAACCCTTTGGGTACAGGGTATAAAAACACATTTTATTTTTGTTGTGGGAGTGAGTACAGGCTATTTCACTGTCTAGCTTGCGCGACTGTAGCGTTCTTTCTTGTTATAATTATTCTGCACATATGTACAGAATATTTCAAAGTTGGGACACCCGACTTTAGCTTGTTTGATGGTATGTTTTTCCGGCAAAACCTAGAAAACCAATTACGAACTGGGTTTTTTTTCATCCTACTCCATAAAAATACATTTGTATGTACATATGTATTCATATTTTATGATCATTTCCAATCTAGTACAAAATTCACATCATAGAAATTTTTAACATCACACCAAATAATTGATCTAGATGTAATGTTAAAAATGAACAGAATCAATCAACTCTATTACTCAGAAAAGCACAACTCTAAAAGGAAAGAATTTCAGGACTGAAAATTGAAACTCTTAATATTATTAGTTAATGCATATTTTACTTTAAAAAACAAATTAAGTTAATTATATGGGGTACTTACCATATTTTCATTGCGAAATGTTACTAGTAATTTATTATTTCTTCTATCGTAAAGAGATGTTGTTGAATTGTAATTATTTATGAACCTTAAACTTGCATGTTCATATGCGGCTAAGTCATTACAAAATCGTAGTAAGAAGAGACTTTTATGAAACTGATAACAAATAACCACAATCTCCTTCATTTTTTCCATCCACGTCTGTAAATATTATTTATTCAGAAATGTACATATGTGTTAACATTCAGAATAAATCTTACCCCAAAGCATTCTTTTGGCTTTTTAAGCGGAATTAAAAATGGCACATTTTCCGGCCACCACTCAGGTTCACTACAGTCTATTTTTTTCGGCAAATTGATATGCCCTAAAGAGCATTGAACCATAAAAGGTATAAACTTTTCCAATTGCGATTCGCTTATTTTTTCTAGCGAAGTTGGATACCCATTTGCAAAAAGAAGCGGTAGATTGGATATCATATTTTGTTGAGTTTTATCTTGATCATCCATGTTAACACTGAAATGGAATAAAGATGAATTTTAGGATCAATTAAGTATGCTTTATTAACAAAATTAAAAATGTAAGCCGTAGTTTTAAAATTTATTTGAAATAGTTAAATTTATTTACAAATTAGAACAATTTATATTTCCAAATTGAGAGACGTTGACGTAGCCCTGTCTGTCTGCATGTCCGTCTATCCGTGTGAACACTTGGATCGTAGAGACTATAAGAACTAGAGTTTGTTCAATTTATATATGTAGGTATATACATAGCTTTTTTGATACACCTCCCCCACTTCCCAAATAATGGGAATTTTCGTATAGGCATCTATATCTCGGAGCTAGCATTTGTTGTACGCATAGAGACGCACCAACTCACAAAGGCACAATTCCTATTTATACATGAGTTCGAATACCAAGGATAGTAAAAAAGATTAACATTTTTATAGCCTGTACCCAAAGTTTCACCCTTTGCTATACTAGTTTTGTGCGCATGTATATAACAAACAGAAGGAGGCGTGGCAGACCCCAAAAAGTATATATATTATTGATCAGGATGACAAGACGAGTCGATATAGCCATGTCCGTCCGTCCCTCCGTCTGTCTGTATGAGCGCAAGGATCTCAGGAAGTACAAGAGCTAGAATAACCAAACTTGGTATCGAGGTTCCCCTAAGTCCTAGGCAGGTCAAGTTTTTTTTTTTTTTTTATTCTGATACACCCCCCCCCCCCCCCACTCCCACGCAATTCCTGTTTTTTTTTTATAAATTCCGTAATTCTTGGAATTTTGAAATCAATATTGGTAGGTACATCCCGTTAGTACTAATGTGTCCGTGTGACAAGTTTCATCATGATAGGTCAATTGTGAAGAAAGTTGTAGCCATAAATAAAATTGCTGCTCATGCGGTGCCTGCAGCTATTGTTGCTGCTTTGGTTCAACTTTGTGCTGCATACATACACGCATAGGCTTGTGATGTAAATGTATGCTGTTAAAACTGAACATAAACATTATGTTTATTAATTTTTTAATAATTTAATTTTGTTTATACCCTGTACCCAAAGGGTGAAACGGTATACTAGTTTTGTGCGAATGTATGTAACAGGCAGAAAGAGGCGTGGCAGACCCCACAAAGTATATATATTTTTGATTAGGATGACAAGACGAGTCGATATAGCCATGTCCGCCTGTCTGTCTGTCCGTCTGTCTGTCCGTCTGTCTGTCCGTCTGTCTGTCCGTCTGTCCTTCTGACCGTCTGTCTGTATGAGCGCAAGGATCTCAGTAAGTACAAGAGCTAGGATAACCAAAATTTGTATCAAGGTTCCTATAAACCCTAGGCAGATTTTGGTAGGTACTTCCAGTTTCATCATGATAGGTCAATTCTGAAGAAAGTTATAGCCATAAGTAAAATCGCTGCTCATGCGCTGCCTGCAGCTCTGTCGGCAGCGCTGCCCGCAGCTGCTGTTGTTGTTGCTGCTTTGGTTCAACTTTGTGCTGCATACATACACGCATATAAACACGCATAGGTACGTGATGTAAATGTATGCTGTTAAAACTGAACATAAATATGTATTCTAATTTAATTAATAAATTTTAATTAATTCATTCATTCATTTTTTTTAATAATTTAATTTTTTTTTAATTTTTCCTTTTTGTGGAGAGTACAGGGTATTTTACTGTCGGGCTTGCTCGACTGTAGCGTTCTCTCTTGTTTTAATTTTCTATTTTTGTGGAGAGCACAGGCTATTTTACTGTCGGACTTGCTCGACTGTAGCGTTTTCTGGACTTCGGAAACGGCTCAGCGCTTATTATTCAAACTTGGTACATACATTTGTAGACGCTCAAAATCTCATGTCTATACGATTTATTTTTTTGATTTTCCTCCCCCTCTCCACGCCACAGAATTTCGTCAATACTTTCTACATTTCATTTGCTATATCAACTAAATATTGCACACGTAATCTACACATATGTACATACATATGTACATATGTATGTAAATATCTGTCATTCATTTCAGTTTCATTCAAATCGGTAAGTTCGAAGAAAAGTAATTAGCGAAACAATTTCACTCCAGTACGCAACATCATCGAATTTTCTCTTCTTCTTTTTGCTTATGCTATGTGCGGGTACAACACAGCGGCGGAAGTTGGTTTAAGTACAGAGTACTAATTCACGGTCCGGCTTGCTCGACTGTAGCATTCTTATCTTGTTTTGGGTTTTCAGAAATGTAACAGACAGACAAGATAGGTAGATAGGTATCTCTCCTTCCTATATACATACATAATACTAATTTATACATAAAATATACAATTCTTGGTGATATCAGACTTGTTGCACCTTGATGCATATGTATGTATAACTGAATGCTAAAATTTCTTATAAATATGAATGTACATAAGTAAATTCATATATAAATGCAAATTTAGTAATAATAATAAATTTTATAATTTATATACATACATACATACATATGTATATGCAAATTTATATGTACATATATACATATGTTGATATTGCAGTGTGATTAAATGAATACATACATAGATAGATAGGTATTTACATACACTATGTATGCACTGTCTTACATATGTACATACATATGTATCTATGCTCATGAAGGAACATTTACACATCCATATGTACATATGTTGATGTGTATGTCCACACATACATATGGTTATGGACAATGTATATTTTGAAAATATTCTAATATGTGAAGGGTCGTGAGCACATATGAATTTAAAAATTGACTATATGAACTATGAATAAATAAATAAGTTTAAAGAACGTATAAAATCAAATAAGGTACAACATACATATGTATACACATACGCATGTACATAACCACATAGCCCGAATATTTACAATACAAAATGAGGCAGTATTAATAGCCTATTATACTATGAAAAATGAAATAAGATTAAGCATACCTTTAATTCATGTAGTTTGACAACAATTTCTATTTTTAATAAAAATATATCAAATTCACCAAAAAAAATTTAAACAGAATTTAATACGGTTTTAGTTGTTTTTAAACTGAATTCACATATTTTGGTGTGAAGTGAGTATCGACATTTATGCAATGTGTTACTGAAACAATGGAATAGCAACAACCTTGGTACATAAAAAAAAAGGTGCTGAATTTGGGAATACGCGTATAAGTTTTTATGAGTTTGCTTTGAAGTGGTCGGCTATCAATATATAACACTTTGACAAAAAATATAAGTGAAATTAGGCAGGATTTTCACGAAGGGGTATATGAAAGGTGTTCCAATATGCCAACGTTTCGACTTCCAACTAATACAGCTAAAAAGTAACAGTAATCATTGAAAGGGAATCTTTTAAGTTTAAAGTAATCGAAATATTTAAAAACGTGCATTATTAACAAGCACATATAATTAGACAGTGGAACAGAAACAAACGACATTTGATGTTTTGTTGTTGGTATATTTTTAAAACAACGATGATACAGTTTTGTTAATGATAAACAAGGTGCGTTCCAAAGTAAACAGGACTTTTTGAATCTAGCGCCCCCTGGTGGCGCTATCTATATGCCGGTATCTGGTGCGTTAGAATCTGCTATCCTTATCGATTGTCCAGTGAGAATTTCATGACATTTCATCGATTGGAAGTAAAGTTATTGCGTTTTAAGTGTCAGTATGTTTGTGTTATCGGTGCGAAAATGAGCTTCGAACAAAGAGCCAACATTAAATTTTTAAAATTGGTAAAACTTTTACCGAAACGTTTCAATTGATGGAACAAGTTTATGGCGATGATTGCCTATCCCGTAGCAGAGTGCGCGAGTGGTTTCAACGTTTTCAAAGTGGTCGTGAGGATAAATGACGATCAACACGTGGGCCAATCAAAATTCGTGATCACCGGAAATTCCATCGAAACTGTGCGTGAATTCATCAAAAATCAGCCGAAATCATCATTGAAATTGATGGACATGGAATTGAACATCTCCAAAACATCGATTTATCGCATTTTGACCGAACATTTGGGCTTACGAAAGGACACACCTTTCACGGTTTGTTCCGCACAAATTGACTGACGACCAAAAATTGCACAGAATCCGTTTCATCGATCGACGCTTGTGACCCATTATTTGACCAAAAATCACATTTTAACCATTAACCACTCGCCGTATTCACCTGATATGGCACCGTGCGACTTCTACCTTTTCGGAAAAATGCATTTGCCCATGAAAGGAAAGTGTTATTCAGACGTAGAGGCCATTTAAAAGGCTTGCACCGGCATTCTGGCGGCCATACCGGCTTTTGGATCGAGCAAAAAGCTGTACTGAAGCAGAAGGAGACTATTTTGAATAAAATAAATTGATTTTGCCGAAAAAACCATTTGTTCTGTTATTTTTTTAAAAAGTCCTGTTTACTTTGGAACACACCTTGAAAGATTTATGAGTGAAGCGTGATATGTAGCAAATTTACTAAAAATGCAAACACGTAGAAAATAATATTTAGTTCCGTCGCGGCTTTTACACTATGTCATTGCCGGCATTGCCGTAAACTATACCGTTTGTTTTATTGCTGCGCCACAAAGCCAGACCTTGGAAAGCTTTGACTATTCCATCGTATTATATAAACGTGAACCGGCATCGTACATTGAATATGAACAGTAGCACTCTAGAATACAAAAATAAATCAGAAAAATTGGGACACCATGGCTGTGATATTGTAAGCTTCACAGATGTAAGCGGCATAGGGGTGCCCGGCTTAGTGAAGGGGGAATTTAAAAAAAAAAGAGTCTTAGAAACATAAAGGCGTTTTTGACCTCAAACGAGGCACTTCGGTCTTTGCTACGATCCGCACAGAGGAATATGAACCATCCCATGGGTGTTTCAGATTTCGTAAATAACGAAATCAAACAGATGTTGGAACAGGGCACCATTAGACCTTCAAGGTCCCCATACAACAGCCGTTCGTGGGTTGTTGATAAAAAGGGAACCGATGCTGACGGCAACGGCAAAAAGCGGACTTTAAGAAGCCAGTTGAATTGATTACCGATGCTTCATCAAGCGGCATTGGTGAGGTCTTTTCCCAGGGAGGTAGGTCAATCAGCATGATTTCCCGTACTTTAAGACAGGCCGAGGCGCATTACGCCACCAACGAGAGGAAACTATAAGCAAGTGTGTGGGCCCTGGGAAAACTGCAAAATTATTAGAGATTAACATTTTTACCGACCACCAGCCGCTCACTTTTGCGGTGTTTGACAAGAACACCAATGCAAAGATAAAAAGGTGGAAGGCCTACATTGATGAACACAATGCGAAAATCTATATATATAAAACAGTTTGTCCTGACTGACTGACTGATTGGTGATCAACGCACAGCCCAAACGGTAAAGGCTAGGAAGCTGAAATTTGCACTCAAGTATCCTTTCATAGTCTAGGTGCCCACTAAGAAGGGATTTTTGGAAAACTCGAGCTCCAAAGGGGGGAAACAGGCTCCAACGTTTGTATGAAAAATCTACAGTTTTCATCTGATTAACTTAAAACTTAGTTTGTATACTCTCAGAATAATTTCAAGAAAAACTGTACATGATTTTTTTGATATTTTGGAGCTTAAAATATGGGAGTTTTCCTGTAAAAAAATGTTGGGGCACAAAAGCAAACCGCGTCAACAGCCCACAGCCCAAACGGTAAAAGCTAGGATGCTGAACTTTGGGATCAAGTATCCTATAATAGTGTAGGTGCGCACTAAGAAGGGATTTTGGAAAACTCGAGCTCCAAAGTTTGTTTGAAAAATCCGCATTTTTTAGCCGATTGACATACAACTTAGTTTCTAAAATCAATTAAAGAATATAAACAAAACTGCATACTCGGATTTTTTTGTGTTGGAGCTTGAATTTATGGGGGTTTTAATATTTATTCACTATTTCAAATGAAAAGGTTGTGTTATAAATTTAGTCCGATCGATTTAAAATTTGGGTAATGTAATCTACGTAACTAAATCTACAAATTTGCATTCAAGGATTTTCAAAATATGCATTTTACAAAAGCAGGCAGAACAAACAATACAAAATATCAAACATTTAGGGACAACTAAGTATACATACACACACACACACACGCACACACACACAGCTCAAACAGCCCGAGATGCGCATTATGCGTAAAAGACAGCTTGCCAGCGACGGACCACGCCACAGGAAGTTTTAAATGTCCGGCGTACAAGGAGGCGGTAAGACTCCTAAGATGATAAGGTTCTTGCAGCTCAATCTGAACCACTGCATCGCAGCACAAGACCTGCTACTGCAGACCATCGGCGAGCAGAATATTAGTCTGGCACTACTCAGCGAGCCATTTAGAACGTACAGCAACAGCAATTGGGCAGTGGATCTTTCCGGCAAGGCTGCTCTATGGCTTTGTGAGCCTAGAGCGTCCGCTTTCTCGGAATGCGAAGCTGGTAACTACTTCGTGAGAGCCAAAGTTTCTGACCTGTGGGTCTATAGTTGCTACCTTCCACCCTCTGGTAGACGACGCCAGGGGACGTGGCCGTGTTATAATTGGCGGAGACTTCAACGCATGGGCAATTGAGTGGGGCAGCAATACCACTAACGCGAGAGGCTGAACACTACTGGAAGCTTTCTCAGTATTGGATCTGACGCTGCTGAATACACAGCACACATTCAGCAGGGCAGGCAGCGGATCCATAATTGACCTGTCGTATGCAGTCAGATCATGTGGTCCATTAGCGACGCTTATACGGCAAGCGACCATGTGGCCATTACACTCACAGTCGGAGTAACTTCCCGCAACATGCTGAATCCACCGTCCGCCAACGTGGCATACAAGCTGGATTCCTTCCGTCCAGCATCCTTCGCAAGCGCCCTCAGCGGCTTCCGACTCTCCGGTGATCCTGAAGTTATGGCTATGGACGCCGTGGCCCAAATCCGCGCGGCATGCGACGCCAGCATGGACAGACGTTGCCCCTATAGGCGCCACCACGTACCAGCTTACTGGTTGACCAATGAAATCGCGGAACTGCGAAGCTCTTGTATCAGGGCAAGAAGAATGGCGCAGAGAGCTCGCGGCACACCCTCGTCGCCCCTCAGACAGGATGCCTATCGGGAGTCTAGGCGATCTCTGAAAAAGGTGATAGCAGCAAGCAAGAGGCGATGCTTTTTCGAGCTGTGCGACTCAGCCGAGCACGACCCCTGGGGGAAAGCATATAAGCTCATTGTGAAGCGAATCTACGCTGGCGGACGCAATGCTCCCATGGATGCTGAGAAACTCTCACGAATCGTTAATACCCTATTCCCCTCGAGACCTGAGTCGCCTGCGATGATCCCTACCAGAAACGAGTTATCGCCTGCCTTAGGCGACGTCACCACTGAGGAAGTGCTGCTGGCTGCTCGTAGCTTGCAGCTCAACAAAGCGCCGGGCCCGGATTCTATACCGAACCGCGCACTCAAACTGGCACTATGTATGCACCCTGGGGCGTTCGCTACTCTGTTCGGAAGGTGTATCAGGGAAGGCATATTCCCTGCCTGCTGGAAGGTGCAGAACCTGGTACTACTGCCGAAACCTGGAAAACCACTCGAAGACCCCTCATCTTACAGGCCGATTTGTCTCCTGGACTCGATCGGTAAGGTGCTGGAGAGACTGCTTTGCTCGAGGCTTGAAACAGCAATCGGTCTATCTCCCAACCAGTACGGGTTCAGGAAATCGAGGTCCACCATAGACGCGATCAGTAGAGTGGTGGATCTTGCGTCGAAGGCAATAACAGGTAGCAGATGGAAGGGAGGTGCCAAAGAATACTGCCTGGTGGTGACCCTCGACGTCAAAAATGCATTCAATTCGGCAGACTGGGGATGCATTCTCAACGCACTGGTGGATCAAGGCGTACCCACGTGCCTGGTGCGCTCCATTAGAAGCTACCTTAGCGATCGTATACTTAGGTTTCACACATCGTCTGGCACCAAATCCCTCAATGTT